AAAAAAATATACATTTAAAAAAAAAAAACTTTTATGGAAAAATTAATATATTAAAATTTAAAAAATATCTAAGCATTCCAATTATAGAATTAGGAACCAACACAATTTTAAACACAAAACGAGGAAAACAATAATCATTACTCATACGAATAGCTTATTTGGAAGAGATTTGTTTTTAAATTATTTTTTTAAGACTATTTTCAACTACACATTCTATAAAATTCTTAACTTTATCTTAATTTTTAATCATATATTCTCTAGAGAATTTATTTTTCACTTAAAACAAAACAAGCACTAAGTGTGCATGGATATTTGTCAAAAAATGTTGAACTTGTTGAAAACTCCTTTAGATATTACTTGCATTACTATTGAGCAAGTACGACACTAATGTTATTCGTATCCATGCTACAATTAAAATCTGGGAAGAATACATAAATAAAATATTTACTTTTACCTATTTCAAAAATATCAAAACATGTTTCAAAATTCAAAAATCAAGTTTCTTTAAATTTTTAATTATGAAATAATAATTATTAAATTAATTTATTATTAATATTTAATTCTACTATAAAATAATTAACCCACCCCCACCTCCACCACCCCTACAACTCCGGGGCTATTCCGGCGACCGTTCCGACGACTTTTCCGGCGACTGATCCGATTCCGACGAATATGTTAAGATCACAGATNTGATAAAGTCACAAATCTGAAATCTATACAATTTGGTCACAATTTAAATTTTCATAGGTCACAATTTGTTCATCAGTTATAACTTAAAAAATTAAAAGTCACAATTTTTTCATCGGTCACAAATCACAAAATTTCTAAGTCACAATACTTATTTACAGTCACAAAACATAACATTAATTATATCTAGGTCACAGTTTATCAAATTTTGGGTCACAAATTAATAATTTTTAGGTCACAAAGCACTTATTGGTCGCAATTTGTTGAATTCATTGGTCACATATTTTTTACTGGTCACAAACTAACCAAATTGCTGGTCACAAACAACCAAAATCAGTTGTGACCACCACTTCCCACTGCCTCCGACAACAGCACCACCACTGTCGCCGCCCAATAGCAACGTCAGCATCTCAAAACACAACCTGCCTCAAATCAGCTCCCATCTACCAGCTGAAAACACCTAAAAATTCACATCAAATGTTGGAGCTGCAAGTCCCGATCACGGCACACAGTCACCAACAAACCACCACCTCCATCACTAGATGTTGGAGCTGCAAGCACCACTACAGTCACCAACAAACCACCACCTCCATCACTAGATCTAACAAAACCACTCCCTCACCTTCGCCACCACCACAACGCCACTACCAAATCCAACCGTTTTCCGCAATATATTTTATTAATTAAATACACCAACAAAAAACCCACCCAAACATCAACAAAACCATCACCACTAAAAAGATTCGACACCGCCACCTAAACACCAGCGCAAGCACACCAATTGTTGCCCAAACTCCAACAAAACTGCCACCCAAACACCAAATCTGAACTGGGAGAGAGAGAGGGTGGAGCTTAGAGAGAAGGGGGAGGGAAGATAGAAAGAGGTGACATCCGTTCCTGCAGTGGCGGCGTCAACCACTGTTGCAGTGGAGTAGATGGCATCGAGCGTGGTGGCAACGCGAAAAAAGTGGCGTCCATCATCACCGGTGGTGTGGTTTCGGGTGTGGCGGCAGCGGCGAGAAGATGGCAGAGACAAGAGCTTGAGAAGAGAGAGAGAGAGAGAGATAGGGTTTGGTTGGGATTAAATTAATTTTTTGTATATAGATATAGATATAAAAATAAAAACTATTTTAAAATTATTAATTAAAACCTGATTTTTGAAATGTCGAACTTGTTATTAGATTTGTGAAATTGGAAATCTATTTCCAGGTGTGGGTGTAATTTCCTCTTAAAATATTCAATTATAGTTCATATTTTAAAAAAAATATATCATTAATTTGTAGAAAAATAGGAATAAGTCTAGAAATTAGATTTTTCTTCTATCTACTATTTGCTCGATGTTAGTGAAATTCTCATTTTTACTTTTCAATTGTAAAAAATAATACTCTATTTGAGATTATTTATAAAATTCAACGTCAAGTCCTCTATACACATTTATAAATCTTATTATCTATTATTTAAAATTTATTAAGTTGAGGGAAAATGAAATAGCTCACAAATAATTTTATAAAATGGGAGAAATACATAAATAATTGTGGCACTTTAGTAGTTTGTCACAAAATGGAAGGAGTTTTCTTTCAAGAGAATGCTATCCACAACGTAAGTTTGCTAGGTTGCCATGTCATCATTTGCACAGAAATAGCTAAGGGAACATAACCTAACAAATAATAACAATAGTAGTAAAAAAAACACATGAATATAAGTAATTTTAATATTAAATAGCAGATATTGAAATTAATTAAAGTTGGGTTAAACTTCAATTATAAATCACAACACAAATATTTAGCCCATGTTATAAAAATGATAAAAAAGAAAATATTTATAACAATACATTACGAGTTTGGCAAAACAATGGAGAAAATAAAAGATTATATTTATACCCTTTTTGATTGGATTTGTGAAGATGATAATGGTTAACTCTTGATTTCTCCAAAATTTCTTCAACTCCTTAATTGATATCCCTTTGTGTGCTTTATGGTTTTCACCAAAATACCAAGAAAAATAGGAGGAAAAAGGAGAAAATAAAGAAAAAGGAAAGGAAGAATAAGTAGAATATGAAAAGAAATAAAAAGAAAAGAAAAAGAAGAAAACAAAATCAATGTTGAAGCTGCCGATTTTTAACTTAGCTCATGTTTGGTAGAGATTGAAATTAGTTTTTTTAGTAGATTTTGATTTTAAAAAAATGATGAAATGTGTGGGTTTTATGAAATGTATGATTAAAATTAATTGTTGACTTTAACTTGAGATTTTAATTCAAATCAAACACGAGCTTAAAAGCGAAATTGTAGCACAAGTACCCAAAAATTGAAGATGAAATTAAAACGGTCCTTCAAATTTTATGCCCTCGGCCCACAAATCACAATGTTGTGGGCAACAAATGGGTATGTAAGACCAAACAAACCTCCACAGGTGATGTTGAGCATCTCAAAACCAGGTTAGTAGCTTTAGGCTATAATCAGGAGGAAGGGGTTGACTTTACAGAAACATTCAGTCCCGTAATCAAATCGGACACCGTTCATGTTATTCTATCTATAGCTGTGCAATTTGATTGGTCTATCACCCAACTAGACGTATCTAACGCATTCCTTCATGGCATTCTTGAGAAGGAGGTGTTCATGGAACAACCCAAGGGATTTATCGATCCTACCCATCCAGACTATGTATGCAAACTCCATAAATCCCTATATGACCTAAAACAAGCACCAAGAGCTTGGTTCATGCGTCTCTCCACTACCCTTCTTGAGTTTGGTTTTGTGTCATCACCCGTAGACACGTCCCTGTTTGTCTATCATGCTAGAAATTGTCACATTTTCATTCTCATATACGTTGACGATATTCTTGTAACAGGAACAGATTCCCCATTGATCCAATCACTTATTAACAGGCTACAAGTTGAATTTAAACTAAAGAATCTCGGACCTATTGGGTATTTTCTAGGCATTCAAGCTACACGAGACACTATAGGCTTGCATCTTCGTCAACCCAAGTATACTCAGACTTGCTCCATCGCACCAAGATGGTAGGTGTCAAACCTGCTCCCTCTCTGTGCGTTATGGGACAAAAGCTGTCCTCTAATATAGGCGAGCCACTCACTTCCGCACAAATCTTAGAATATCGTCAAACAGTAGGCGCTCTCCAGTATTGTACATTGACCAGGCCAGATATTGCATTTTCTGTAAACCAACTTTGTCAACACATGCACAATCCCAACTCTTCACATTGGACTGCAGCTAAATGAGTTCTTCGATACTTAAAGGGGACCATTGATATCGGCTTATGGTCCACAAAAGGTGACTGTCATGTTCAGGCATTTTGTGACTCTGACTGGGCAGGGGATCCTGATGACCGTCGATCCACCACTGGCTATGTTATCTTCATTGGCTCTTCCCTTGTTTCCTGGTCTGCCAAGAAGCAATCTGTAGTTGCCAGTACTGAGGCTGAATATAGGGCATTGGCAATGGCCACAACTGAACTTTATTGGATTCGCATACTACTCCAACTATTGCACTTTACTATCCCTGCTGCCCCTACAATTTGGTGTCATAACAGTGGTGCCATTGCACTTGCCTCAAACCCTATCTTTCATGCTAGAACTAAACACATCGAAGTCGACTTCCACTTCATTCGAGAGAAAATAGCAAACAAAGACATCTCTCTCCAGTTTCTCAGCTCCTCTGATCAGTTAGCAGATTTATTCACCAAAGGGCTTAGCTCCGACCGTTTTGCGTACGACGCGAGGTTCGATTACCACGTTACACTCCCCATTAGCTTGCGGGGGAATGTTGGACAGATCAGTACAGAATCCCAGCAAGAAACGAACTCTACATCAAAAGATAGGGATATACCAAACAAGATACAAGATATAGCTCTAGCAAGAAGTTAACTTTGCACCAACTTCCAACAATAGATAGGAATGTATATTTGTAAACCAAATCAGAATTAAAATTGTAACCCAACTCAATCTCTGTAAATCTATTTAAACCATCAATATACTTCACTACGGGCAAGCAAGTTAGCCTATTTTTTTCCTCAGTCTATTGAGTATTTTCATGAAATACATCAATCTTAATTTTGCAGCAAGGTGATGGAAAAGAACTTCATCAAAGTCCCTTCCACCAAGAGACCTGTCAAATGAATGAGACAAAAACTTGCATACTGGCATGCCCAACATCGATAAAAGCAAAATTCAGCGGATCATTCTTAGGTAAATCGGTCTTATAAATACCATAAGCTAATGCAGTCGCAGTCTTCTCATGTATAAGACGAAGAGGGTGCAGACCAGCAATCTTTGCAGCATCTAGAACGGCTCTTCTCTAAAGATCTGTGAAATAAATAGGTATTCCAATGCAGCAACCCACAACTGCAGCATTCAAATTCCTTTCTGCAATGCCCTTCAAAATTGAAAGCATCATCCCCAAAACCTGGGAGGGCGTGAATGTCTTCATTTCTCCTAAATACAGAGCGATGAAAATTGGCCATGTTTTGCAAAATTATTCTCTCCTCTCACTACTGTATAGGTATGGAGTTAGCAAGTGATAATTGCCTTATTTGGGGGTCACAACACGATTTCCTTTTCGCCACTCTATTTGATATTTGATGTATTACTACATCTACACGCGGATCCTTAGCAACCACAAAAGGCCATGCTATTTTTGGTCATTCTCCCCTCTTCTAATCTGTTCTATTAAGATCATGTCACTCTATTCCGACCACATAAGTCATCATCTTCTTGGCATATGCTAATTTTCTAGAAAACATTTTTCTTATGATAATTAGGATTGCTGGGAACTATCCGAGCAATTGGTTATATCCGCTCTTGTTTCTGAATATCAACTTTAACTGTTTGTCTACCAGAAGTTCTAATGGACAAGTATCCAGGAAAGAATGACTGACCCATTAAATCAACATCTGTCTCGTAGATCTTATCAGTGCTTGGAAAATTAGAGTAGTGAAAGTAATTAGCTGAAAGGGGAACATAAGGGAAAGATGACGGCTTAACTTTTGACTCACTTTCAGACATTCTTGAGAGCTCAGACGGCTAACAGACTTGTATTCAATAAAATTCTCAAAGTAACTTAAAATCTGAAGTATCTGAAGTGCTATGCTTCATATCTATGTTACATCTCGGGTCTTCATTTGCAGAGTACCTGACAAAAGTGTTCCAAGCGAATCATGATTTTGCCTATCCGTGATGGATAAATTTCAGTTTGATTGCAGGATTTATCTGCCGAGGGGATTCCGGTAGCATGGTACGTGCTGTTCCATAGCAGTATTACTCGTATAATCTTATGGTATGTTTGGTAACATGAAGCACACAAAGAAGATGGGTTGGCAAATGGAAGTTCGATGTATTTGTCTATGCGTTCACATCCACCTTGACCACGATCAACAATATTTTTTAAGTGTTGAAAATAAAAATTGTCAACCCAACAAAAAATGAAATAAAAATTATGTAGAAGATGGGTACTTTTCCCAAGTAGCTAAGAAGATGAGCATTAATGGTGATCAATATTTCTCAAGAACACATGCTATGTCACCTGCCTTGAATTTGTACCAATTATTTTCAAATATAGCTCCAGAACTTGTTCCCTACTGACTCACTCACCCCCTCAACCATTTTAAAATAATGAAGTCTGCTATACCTAAGAGATTCCATGTTCACCAGGTTCAATTAATTAAGTACATAGGATTCCATTTTTCTTTTATATGATATAGTTAAGCTTTGACCATATTATAAGAAAGTATAAAGAGGTTGCAGTTTTTACCGTGCTATCGCATACACGATTATGCATTCTTCGTTGAGGTTGGGTTTTCCGTTTATAGTGAAGATGTAATTCCCCCAGCTACACCATAGTCACATTGTAGCAAAGTGGTGTACGTGGTGTGACAGTTGATCCAATCGAAAAGAGTACAACCAAGCTTTGATTTGTCACAGACGTTTGAAAGTCCTGTTAACACATGTAAGACGAAATATGTTTTATGTTCTGTTGTCGAGGAAATTTTTAAGCATGCCTGCATTTTCTTTTCAAAAGAGTGCTATTTCATTATTATAATGATATATTAAATGAAGAAACAAAATACAAATACATGTAACTGATTTCAAATTTAATAAAAATTAAGAACTTATTAGTTGTGTTCTTGTTAGTAGGTAGAAGTTGAAAAACAAATTTCTCCCTCCTAACCCAATGAATAATTAAGGGTGTGTTTACCAAATGGATTACACAAATGTGTGTGGGCCTCCCTCCATGTGAGGAGGGTGTAATCCATTTGATGAAACATTGTGTGTAAATCTTGCATACCCTTATTTTAAAGTTTTTAAACACTATTTGTCATGCTTATTTTCAAATATGGCACCAGAACTTGTTCCCTACTGACTCACTCACCCCCTTAAACCATTTTTAAATGATGAGGTCTGCTATACCTAAGAGATTCCATGCTCACCAAGTTCAATTAATTAAGTACATAGGATTCCATTTTTCTTTTATATGATATAGTTAAGCTTTGACCATATTATAAGAAAGTATAAAGAGGTTGCAGTTTTTACCATAAAGAGCTTAACTATACACGATTATGCATTCTTCGTAGGGATTACAGGATGAGCGTTCATTACATCATCTTCTTGATCCAACGAGCTACACCCTAATCACATTGTAGCAAAGTCGTGTACACGGTGTGGCAGTTGATACAGTTGAAAAGAGTACAACCAAGCTTTGATTTGTCACGGACGTCAAAGTCCTGTTAACACATGTAAGACGAAATATGTTTTAAATTTTGTCGTTGAGGAAATTTTTAAGCATGCCGGCATTTTCTTTTCAAAAGAATGCGATTTCATTATTATAATGATATATTAAATTAAGAAACAAAATACAAATACACCTAACTGATTTCAAATTTAATAAAAATTAAGAATTTATTAGTTGTGTTATTTAAATAAAAATTTTCAACTGAATTGGCATATTATGTTGGTACTTAATGTCCTAATCAAATCTATAAACAGAATTTATCCTCTTAATTAATCTAATCTCTATTATTAGTTGGTAGTGAACAATAACATCCATTTCCAATCATCTAACTACACATTTCTTAAATAACTAGGTGCAAGCAACGTGCAATGCACGTTTGCCTAGTTTATATTTAATAGTTTTGTTTAATAATTAATTTGTTATTAATAAAGATGTAATTTTTTTGATTAATTAAATAATTAATGATGTAATGTTTATGTAATTGTTAAATAATTAGATGTGTGATTTTGATGTTGTGATGTAAGTTGGTGAGATCGAAGAAAATAAGCAAAAGTTGACAAATTTGGAGAAATGGCTAAATTGTAAGGGATCCAAAGTTCGGGGACTAAAATGTAAATACTTAAAAGTTGTGCCGAACCTCACGATGAAGATTTGAGAGTGCTCGGAGTCAATTGGATAAAGGAAGACGTCAATGGAATCAAATTTAGTCAAAAGATGATCACAAATCAATTTCCAACCGAAAAGTTATGCTCCGATATTTTAGTCTCATATTGAGACCTATTTTTGGTATAGAAAGTGATCGAATTAAAGAATGATGTCTGAATCAAAGTTGTAGCCAGATGAGTTAGCTTTCCAACGCATTTTGAATCGCCTCAATCGGATATCGGAATACAAAGTTATGATAAAAATACTGAAAGAAGGTGTAGCTGCCTGTTTAAAACAAGAAATTCCGTTACATAATCCGTTAAAACAACAAATTCCGTTAGTTTTTCCGTTAAAAACAAGAAATTCTGTTACATAGCCACTTTTAATATATAGAAGAAATACCATTTATATGCCTATTTTCTATGGGAAAAAACATCCCACAGAAGAAGAAGAAGAAGAATGATTTAGATTCATTTTATTTGATAATCGAGAAAATCATAGAGTATATATTATTATCGTTATTTATGAAAAAGTCAGTTGTATTTGGGAATATTATATGTGTAATAACGTCACGCACCATACAATACAAAGAGCATGTTTGGTAACTTAGATTGGACCGAATGGAACAAACTTTAGTTCAAGAAAAATGTAGCAAAATTTGTTAACTATTCTATCTAATTTATCGAGTAGTGCCACTTGCAAATGATGATAAGTTCATCCTATCTAGATTTTTTGTGCAATTTATGAGTTACTTCAACTTCAATACTGAAAAGTCAACAAATCCAAGGCATCGTACCTGTCAAGAAAATAAAATCTGTAAAGCATCTCGCATTTCTTGTAGATCAAGTGAGCACAACAAAATAACAACACAAGATTGAAAATTAATTAAGCAATAAATTCAGTTCGACTACACGAATCCTTTTCACCATTCCAATCAATTTGTTACTACATTCTTCTGAAAGATCTAACGAAGTCGATACAAGAAAGAAGAAGAAGAAGAAGACGAAGGCGGCATAGAATGACAGATTGATCTTGGCTTCTGATGATCAAACCATTAGGTCATTCTTCTTAAAGATTCTTGATGGAACAGCGAAACGAGCCGAAAATGATCGAGAAAGTTCATCGGGATTTGCCCACATTAAGCCCTGATCAAAATTCTGTGCATAAGAATATGGATCGTAAGTGAATCTCATTGAATTGGAGCAATTGAAATTTTTTTTCTTCTCTTTCTTCATCTTCCTCCATAACAGTGTCCAAATGGGAGCTTTTGAGTTGTTCATCGACGAATTATACGATGTGAGTTTGCCATAGTAGTCTCGACCAGAGTCGAGTCGACCCCATTGGACGTCTTCGTTGCAGGAGCAGCACCATGTTCCAGCACCCATTGTGAAGAGAAAACCAGTGGTGGCGTGAATTTTGTGTGTGGGGATATAAGGAGGTGCGGTTGGTGTCTAAAAGAAAGGAGAGTAAATGCATGGGGTGGAGTACTTATAGTTAGATAATGATGTATCTCTATCCGATTTTATACACTTATCATTCAATACTTTTTGTTTGTGTACAAGTGTACACAATTGGCCAATAGGAAGGATGGACATGTGACTTCTCCAAATTTCAGGGGCAAACTTGTCATTTTATTCATGTTTGATTATATTTTGGGAAAGTTGCATTAAAGTCCCAACATATTACTCCTTAACATTTAACCAATTCTCAACGATTTTCATAAGGGAGACGTGAACATTTAAAGAAGATTTGAATGGTTAGCGAACTCTCACTTTCATTCTTTGTCACCTCTTGCCTCTAGGTGCTTTTGTCATTGATGGTGCCTTGTTGCATTATCGTCACATAGTCACAAGACATAAAATCACCATTTTCACTAGTGTATAAAAGAGTTGGAAAGAAGGCGAATACAAAGAGAATAATGATGAAACGGAGAAAATGTAAAATTGTTCGAAAAATGTAAAGAATATGTAGAGAGGGTAAATTTAGAAGTTATCAAGAGTATCAATCTCATTAGGGTAATTATTTTCACAACAAACTTCTTGTTAACTACATCACAATTTAATTGCAAGAAATGTCCTTATTTTTCACTTACGCCCCCAACTTTTTTCGTCACATTTTTATCCTCAACCTTCCTTTTGTTAATTTGCACACCTTATTTTTAATAATGATTTTCATCCAAAAAATTCATTAAGAGGGTGTAAAAACACTTATTTGCCTTTCATTTTATGCCAAGTCCCTTTTTTTTTTTTTTATCAAAATCAATTATTGAACAGTTATTTGACCACATTTCAACCTTACATTCTTCAATAAAATAATATTACACGTAAATCCAAAACTTTTCCTTATTTTTTAACCATACATTCCCCTTCAGAACACTATAGCAAAGTGCTTTTTTTGAAAAAAATGGGGGCAACAAGCCCTAAATAAGCAAACTAAATAACAAGTATAAAAGTTTGAAAATTTATTTGTCACTCATTTCAATGCATGTCCGCGGAATATTTAGACAAAAATCACCGTCGGAGACAAGATGTGCTAACTAATCAAGGATTGACAAAAAAAAAAAAAATGCGACGAAAAAAATTGAGAGTATAAGTGCTAAATTAGTAAAAAATTAAAAACTTGCATTGAAATTAAACTAGTAATAAAAATCGTGATGTAAATATGATTACCCAACTAATTATTGAGTACCAAACTCAATTAGATGCAACTTGGTGGTTGGAACAATTCATATTATAAATATCCATTTTGAGTATTTGAATTGCATGTTATTTCAATTATTCAATATTCATCATACTCCTTTAATCTCGATCAAGTTGCCCCCTTGATTGAAATTTCTCACTTACCCCTATGAATGATGTATCTGCCCAAGAGAAAAGAAAGATTTGTAATTTATATTACTACCATCAAAATTTGTTTATTTGCATTACGTTTTTTAATGTTTTTTATTTACTAAGATAGTAATAAATAAAATACATAAATAAACTTCATCTTTTCTTTGATGAGTTTTCAATATTTTTACTTGTCAACAGAGTTGTACAAGAAACGTACATCTTTGTATCTGAAAGAGAGAGTGTTGTGTACCAATCATTTTTTTTTTTTTTTATACTTAGACCATATTTGTAAAATACGATTGTCGCGTATATATTGAGCCCCTGTTTGGTACACATTAAAATTTCATTCTCATTCTTCTACTCATTTTCAACCACACATTTTTCAATAAAATAATATTTTCCATCACATCAATAACTTTTCCTTCTTTTTCAACCACAAATTCTCCATCAACCTACTATTTCATAATACATTCTTCCAAAATAATGTAAATCAAACACACCCTGAGTTTAATATTTTTTTTAATTTTATGTATTTAAAATGTGGTGTTCCAAACAAACTTAAATATTTTTAAATTAGGATTAATCCCCAAGTAGAGGGGCTCAAATTACAGGGCCATTACAGGTCTCTCAATGTAGCAGTGGGCCCCACCTGTTTAAAAAATTGAAAAAAATGTCACCCCACCACCCCAATGTGTTTCCCTTTAAATTATTAGTTTTGTTTTTTTTTTTGGTATCCATTAGATTTACTTCATATGAATTATCTGGAGCTCAATCTTTCTTGAAATGTATACGTTCGATTTGAATTCTTATTAATAAACTTTTTAAGAGTCGTGATTTGACAAATATTTTAAAAATGTTTAATCGTACAAAATGTCCCTACGTTTGACATGTAGTGTGCAAAACGTCTATACGTTTCAATTTTTTGCATTTTCTCCCATATTTCAACGTTTCATAGCAGAAAACGTCTTTTTCACCTATTTTAACGTAAAATGACCAATATACTCTCATATATAAATAAAACAAAATAAAGAATAAATTGCAATCTTACTCCTAAACTTTTTTAAAAACACAAATGAGTCCAAAATTTATGAAAATATTAAAAATAACAAAAAAACTCTTTCTCTACGCCTCCTTCGCCGCCGCCAAAACCATTGGAATTTCACCCCTTTATTTTGGCTCCAAAATTTGACTCAAACTTTTTCTCTCCTCTTCGTGGTGTGTAAGGAACGACATTTGACTCCAAAATTTGGCTTCTGTAATTGAATGATTACTCAATATTGTTTGAGCCCGAATTTGAGTTTTCCCAAGTTAATTCGTATGTTGGGACACAAATGAGCCATGAATGGATGGAAGAATTTCCCCTTCGTGCGGACAAGTAGTTCGTTATATCAATCCAAAATTGTTTCATTTGGCTGATGAATTGAAACAATTGAATCCTTACCCAAGGTCGTTTTACCTTTAATTACATGCTGGTTGATGCAATTTGCATATTAGAGTTGTGGAGGGATACCAATTGAAAGGGGATCAAACCGGTTTTTAACGCGTGTGCACCATAAAGTGTGGTTCTTCCATTTCTGGGCAAAATTGACAATAACCCATAGGTGCATTAGGTGCACCTTGAGTAGGCGGTGCTAGGGGGGGTGTACCGCGATCGTGGGTCTTAACGCCGACGTCGGAAAATGAGTTTGAAGTGACCAAATTCGTTGTTAAAGAAAATGACTGCATATTCCGATTTTCAACTTTCTTTGATGTTATGCACACATTTGTAGGAGCTCAATGAGAGTTCAATTATAGAGGGGTGAAATTCCGATGGTTTTAGCGGCCACGACGGTGGTGGAGGCAGAGGAGAATAGATAAATAGTTTTTTTTGTTATTTTTAATATTTTCATAAATTTTGTAATCATTTGCATTTTTAAAAAAGTTTAAGAGTAATATTGTAATTTATTCTTTATTTTTATTTTTCTTTCCCTTTTTTTTTTTATTTATATATGAAGGTATATTGGTCGTTTTACGTTAAAATAGGTGAAAATAACGTTTTCCGCAATGAAATGTTGAAATAGGAGTGAAAATGCAAAAATTTGAAACGTGGGAACGTTTTGGACAATGCATACCAAACGTAAGGACATTTTGTGTGATTAAGCCGTTCTAAAAGAGTTTATCTACGAAGATCTACTTGCTTGCGATTACAATTGAAATTAAAATAGAGAGGTAAGTTCTAATTTATGTACCAAATAGAGGCCTTAATTATAACATTTTCTTTACCAAAAAACAAAAAGAAGAACGGATGAAATGTAGTATTCAAACGACGGGCCCACGGAATAAGTCATTACAGTTTATTTATTCAATAAATCTGTTAGAATATATGGAGGGCTTGTGTATGAGACGTGACTTATAAACTGTTCTATGTCAGCAAGAATTTCTTGACTCATGTTTGGCATCTTTCAGCTTATTTCGGCATCTGTCCGAATAACCTAGAAAGAAGAACTTTTTCAGCTGGACCAAACATGCTATCAGGAAATCTTTTTACTTGTTCAAGAAATAAGTAAAATTAACATGTTTGAAAACAAAAGTTTACTTATATGTTGTTGGTGCTTGTTGAGCGGTCAAAATCCCTAAAGCCCCAACCAAAGCTCCAATCGAATTTGTTCTAACGGTTAGTGGTTCAAGTAAATAATTGTGGAGGCCCTTCTCCCTCTCAAGCATTACTTCTCAAGTTAGCACCAAGATCAGTTGTTCGTCTTTTGTTTTTCGGAATTAGAAAAATCCCCTTTGGCTACTTCTCAATACCAATTGCTTCTAGCTTAAAACTTACTCTTAAGCTGCCAAACATGACCTCACAAAACCCCCTCCACTAAGAAAACACTGAGGACAAAGGGAAAAAACAAAAGAAAAAATGGGTTTCAAATTTTTTCTTCCCTTTCCTTTTCCAAACACTATAAACAAAACTTTCAACTTGTCACTTGACAAGTGGTGGCAAGTCTCTTTTGATTAGTCACCACAACCTTAATAACTCTAATATGGCAGAATATGCCAAGTGTTCACAACTCCTTTGCAGGGTGCAAAATCTCTCTCTCTCTCTCTGAGATACAAATTTTCAGCCTATTATCTCCACCCATGCAAGCTTGTGATGAAAAGTTTCATTTTATTAAAGAAAAGGTTCAAGTCCAAAAGCGATCCCTTTCTAAGAATCGATCCACACCTTTTTAACAAACAATACCCCCACTCTCTCTCTCTCTCTCTCTATTTATTTTTTTTCCCTATATGATACAAATTTTCAGCCTGTTATCGCTTGAGATGAAAAGTTTCATTTTATTTAAAGATAAAGGTTTAAGGCCAAAAGCAATCCCTTTCTAAGAATCAATCCACACCTTTTTAACAAACAATACCCCCAAGCTTTTAAATATACCTTCCCACCCTACTCCACAACTTATCTTCGATTCCATACTTTCATTTGCTTTGCTTGGGCTATAATACTATGATTCTCCCTGGTTATGTTCTCTCTTGTTGAGGGTAAAACTTTCCTTCTCGCAATAAGAGATGTGTTACCCGGGTGC